AATCCAAATGGATGAGCTGTTTGTTGATGGAGCTTCGTATCGTGTATCTGAGTTTCTTGTACAGCCACACATCATCTCCCTCGTTCACAACACAAACCTAAAAAAAAAACCTGTGTGAAAAATCTTCTCAGTATTTGGAAATGTGAAAGTCTGTCATGCTCATCATCTTATCCCTTCAAAACCTCTGCTGGAACAGTCAAGAAATACATTTGCGGGTCTTTTTTTATCACCACGCCGGAGTCACCTGCTCTTCATAGCAGTCGCTTTAGAACTTGATATCTGCTGCGAGAGATTCAAATCATCATCACCAAGGTGAATCATGGGAGTTAGCTGTCAACATTTGTACTTGTGATAGGGAATTTCAAACACTAGGTTGCAAATGGCAGATGTTTCAACTCAATGAAGATGACATTTCTACCCTAGATGAAGGTGTTATATCCCATTTGTTTTCTGTCCTTACACCTCATTAGAGGACTTTTAAAACTATAAGATGCAGGGCAATTAAATGAAAAAGAGACATGTGTAGAGACATGTTAAAAGTTAAACTTCTTTTAACTTGAGCGCTGCACTTTTAGAATATTGTGTCATGCGACAGGCATATCGAAAAACGTGAGCACAACGGTCAAAGACGTCTGTCTAGTGCATGTTTATACGGAAAAACATGGAAAAATCAGAGCAGAGGAATGCAAAAATGTCTGTATGCCTCATAGTCTGTATATGTAACTAATATGTAAAATCGACAGAAAATGTTGTGATTAGAATTTTAATTAATACCATGTTAGTTCTGTTCAAACTATCACTGTTGTATGCATTTCTGAGCTTATTATCAGGGCACACTGGCATGGCTTGCTTCCATAGAGAGAGCAGCATTTGATTCCAGCGGCTGTCAGATGATCAGTTGCATTTCTATTTTTAGCAATAATAATTACCTTTGTGATTAAATTAAAAATCAAGGTTCAATTTTAATTTCGCTCCAAACAATTATATTTGAAAATGAAAACTGAACTGGAAAGAAAAACTCATTATATCAGTGTCTGATATCGGCTAATAAGTAATTATTGCATGAAGCTGACAGTATTCAACTGATTCACTCCAGAGCTATTCACTTTCTCAAACAAGCAGCTGGCAAAGACAAAGTTGAGGAAGACATTTGCACAGGCATAATCCTTTCTTTTGAAAGCATGTGAGAATATGGAAATCATCTAAACAGTCTTCATTGTTCAAAAATGATCACCCAAACTTGGAACAAACACGGAAGAATCTTGAGTAAGGAAGTGGTTAAAAAACACTAATTATGTATTATTATGAGAACGCTACATGAAGATTGTTAAAAAAAAAAAAAGTGGATAATTCACTCAAAAATTACTTTCTTCTTTCTATGGAAAAGAAAAATTGGGAATTGTTTCAGTGTGTGTTTTTTTTTTTTTGTCCACGCAATGAAAGTCAAAGGGTTCAGTGATGTTTTGAACCCCATTGTCTTTCAATGTATAGACAAAAACAGCTGAAACATTCTTCAAAATATCTTATTTTGCTCCATAGAAGAAAGTCAGTCATACAGGTTTGGAACGACATGAAATAAAAATAAAAATGGGGTCTGTCCTAATCCTGCTCCTTTGCATAGGCTCCAGGATATCCAGCCCTGCAGTCAGGAACTATTTTGATCAATGGCCATCTTACACATGGAAGTCTTATTGACATTTAGAGAATGCGCATGCTTGCCATTCCTGAACTGGGAATCTGTTAGTTCTAGGCTTTCCCTTCCACATTTGTCACTGCTCACCAAAAAATACAAAGTAATACAACCAGGATAAGCACGGGAAAAAACACCTTTCATGTTTCTTTCAGAGACTTCAGAGGGATTTCCATTTTCATGGAAAACTCTCAGATTTCCTACTAAAACTTTTACTTAAATGGCTGTTTTTAATGTTGAAAATGCTAAATGTTTCTTACTAGACTGACACTTTTATACGATCTTCAGCTCTGCGTCCCCGTTATTACGCATATGAAGTGAATGAATTCTCGAGGCTTCTGTTTGTGTGTGAGCATTCCACATTTGTTCTCAATGCCGAGTATATGTGGTGGGCTGAGTGGGACATATTTCAGCTCCGTGTCGGGGGGGGGGGGGGGGGTGTCCCTCCATTCACTTGCACCCACAGCCGCTCAGCTGTTTCTTCACGTTACTCCGGGATACTCCGGCTGGTCGGTCGGACATGTGCCGTTCTCCTGTTGCTCAAAGACTCAGCATGTTTCATCCCACAGCCCGCCTGTCATGGTACCCATGCGGATTACACTGGGACCCCCCGTATGGAATTTTTCCCATCACTATACAGTGACAATAAACAGCTTTTAGGAATACTAGATTACAACATACTTTTCTTATGTGGTACCTTCCAGCTAAAACGAACCTAAGCACGTGCGGAAGGGCAACGTGTCTTTGTCTGCAACAGCCCTAAGTAAAGCACACAGAGAACGGCTATCTTTTCTGAGCTTATTTCTCTCGGTCGCTTACTGAACACATCAAAAATGTCAGCCTTCAACTGATGGACATGCCCAGAAGCTCCAGCATGCTTTTCATGAACCCCCAGAAAGCCATTTGCTGGGAAGCAGCGGGTGGAAGAGAAAGCACACTCAGCCTTCAAGGGACAAGCTATCACTTTCACTCTTTTTCACTTTAAGCTGTATTTAATCACATCTGAAGTAGGCCTATTCATCTCAACAACAGACAATTTTCAGCATTTTCATAGGCAACATAATGGTGAACATTATCTCAGAATATTGTTCCACGACACCACATTTCTTCCAAAGTCCAAAGCATTCGGTGTGGACTAAAATGGAAGGCTGCCACTCGTCCAAGTATTCATCTAAAATATGGGGTGTGATCTCAACCTTTGTACTATTCCTGAATCTATTTTATCATATCCAGTAAAGCATAACTTGGCACCAAAAGTGCTGGCAAAAGACACCGGAGAGTTTCCACTCTACAAATGCACTCTTAACATAAGGTATAACAAACCACGGAGAAACTGCTTTTGGAGTAGGCCGACATATTCATTTTACATTCAGCTGTAACTTTACTTTTAATAGAAATTTCATTACACTGATTAATAAATTCTAGGAAACTCGTACATTTTTTCTTAAAATCACACTTCACATCATTATGCTGCAATGTATTTACACAATATGGAAAAAAATATTTTTACAAGTAATAAATGTAACATGGCCAGCTTTTTAATTTATAGTCAGTAAAAGTGACTACTGAATATGCAGAATCTATTTGCAAACAGATTTCCTTTTTTTTAAACAAACTAAACAAAATTAATAAATTAATTTTAATAAATGAGGGGATAAAAAGTCATAAGTTAACAGAAATTGAAAAAGAGAGAAATGTAGAGGACGTACATCACAACACAGATTAAGCAGCAGTATTTAGTGCTGTAGTCTGTAATTAAGCCAATCAGCACACTTGAATAATCACAGGAGATGAGCAGTTTCAGCCTACATGAGTCCCTACAACTACAATTACAGTTAACCTTTAAAAGGGTCATCAAATGTTCATTTTATCATTCAAACCAAAGCAACTGAGATAAAAAGGTGAAAAAACACGGTAACACTACAATAAGATTTCATAAACTAATAATGAACTGCACTTCTACAGTATTTATTCATTTTTGTTCATGTTAGTTTCAACATTTACTAATTATTAAAATCCAAAGTTGTATTTGTTAACATTAGTTAATGCAATGTGAGTGTGAAGTAACATGAACAAAGAATGAACAACTGTATTTTTTAACTAACATTAACAAAGATTAACAAATAGGCTACAAATATACAGTATAATGGTTAGATCATGTTAGTTAATACATTAACTAATATTAACAAATGAACCCTTATTGTAAAGTGTTACCAAAAACACATATAGCCTGAATAGCTAATTTAAAGAGTTTAGGCCTATATCTCAAACCGACTTAACAAATATAAATGATCTATAACAGCGAAGCTAATGATTATTTCCAGTCAACGGTAAGAAACGAAATCTTCATCTTCTGACTGAATAATTTAATTAAGCTAGTGGTCTAGACTAAAAGTATTTAATTGAATTACAACCGACCGTTCAAACGATCCAGGACAAAATCATGTAACCTTTTTTAATTAATTCCCTGAGCTCAAAACATAAGACTTAAGTATATTGTGAATATTGAAGGTTATATGCTGTAAATGTTGATATCACCCACAGCCTGTGCTAATGCCTGGCGCGCGCTGCCTGATCCCCTCTCTCGTGAACACTTGAGTCGGAAAACCGTTATCTCGCAATAAACATGCCCAGTTTCCATAGAAATAGTTTCCAATCGTTAAAACACACTCAAACCAAACACACACGCGACCGTTTTGAGAAAGCAAAATGAAAATCAACAACAACACTAACCACTCAGTCCAAATGTGTTTGCTTATTTCGTTTCAAAAACTTTTAAAGCGTGAACAAAGAACTGAGGCGAGTGATTCAGCGGAGCAAACACGCACGATAACAAGTTTTATGGCATAATAAAGTCTGAGTTAAAAACAACAACAACAAAACAAGTCTAATATTCCCGTAAGCAACCAATGTAACCTGTAGAATAAGGGAATAACAGAGGCGAACGGGTTTATGTATGGTTAGTTGAACAAACACGGATCACGGATGCGAGTGAGTCTCCAGCCCGCGATGAGAAACATTTCAGCGCGAGACAACTAAAACCTGAAGCTCGTGTTAAGAAACACGGCACATCCACCCCAAAATGTTACTTTTATCTCAGTTTAGATTCAACGTCCACGTCTAACATCTCATCTAAAAGAGCTAACGGGTTAGCTCAATAGTTTAGTTGGCTTAAAGAGACAAGCACTTTAGTGAAACAGGACGCTCATTGAAACACATTTCAAGAACTTCGATAAATGATTCACCACAGTTTGTATCACTTCTGCTTCTTCTACAAAGAAAGTATAAATGTGCGGTGATGTGTACTCACATTGCATGGAAAGGAGAAGCAGAACGCAAGCCAGTGGTGTTAACGCCATCTTGGAGTCGATGAAATGTTCAGTTCGGCTGTACATGCGCAAAGTAAAGGGCTTTAGGAGAGGATGGAGCTCAGAGCTCAGCTCGCGCTCACCGACCGAAGTGAGAGAGAGGCACGTCGAGCTATTGTGAGGAGTTTCCATGACTACAAACAGCATCATCGTCATGAATATTCAGGTTTTTTTATTTATGGATTTTTTTGCATGCCACGCCAGTGAAGTTGCTTAAGTTCTACTAATACAAAAAACTGCATTATATTGGAACATAATAACAAATTATCTAAGGATGGATCATGGACGTTTTTACAAACTTTGAAATTGTATATCACAATTTTATACATTTCGGAAATATTTCCATATTTCCATTGAACAAGCAAAGTAAAAAAAAAAAAATCATTATGTTTCAATTATCATTTGTTGTGCTTTAAAGTACACTTATTTTGTTGTGCTGACTGACAGACTAAAAAGCACATGTAAAGTAGGCCTACTTGATTGTTTTGACTGTAGTGTGTTTATATTAGGGTATTTAAAGTAAATATTGTAAATGTAGCTACTAAATTGCAACTTTGTAATTACAAATGTGTAATTATAATCTACTTAAATATATGACATACAATGTTCAAAAGAAACGGTTCAAAAGAAACTACATAAAAGTGTTTTTTAAATGACCATATTAGCCAGCCTATCTATTTATCTAGAATAGATAGATAGATAGATAGATAGATAGATAGATAGATAGATAGATAGATAGATAGATAGATAGATAGATAGATAGATAGATAGATAGATAGATAGATAGATAGATAAATAGATAGATAGATAGATAGATAGATAGATAGATAGATAGATAGATAGATAGATAGATAGATAGATAGATAGATAGATAGATAGATAGGGTTTTCAGGATTTTGAATTTCAGGATTTCAATCTGCAGAAATGCCGCAGCATTAGAGATAATAATTGATGTTATCACACTCTGTTTATGTGAATTTGTCTGATGGCAAGGTTAGAATGTGTGTGGGACCGTTTCAGCACAAAGACCATTCCAGTGTCTGACAACGGGAGATAAGCGCAAATCCAGAAGGCTTAGGGCACATTATGTTTTTCCAATTCCAGACATTATCGACAACAAGGACGTTCAAAGCAAGAGTCTCTCGCTTCGCCAACCACTTGCAGCACTTGAGCACAGACTATAAGAGAAGTCCATAATCAGTGCATCAAGTAAGTGTATTTATATCTTGATGTTCTAAATTTTATTTGAAGGGTTCACCAGTCAAGGCCATTCACATTCAATCTCACTCTTGTTCGACAAGAAATATAAATAAATAATACAAATTAATAAATAAAAATACAGGGGGAAATGACATTTACATGACAACCGCAGGCTGAAAAAGGACATGGACTAAGCATCATATAGCCTATATTGTATTAAATATATATTGTTTCCACACATTCTCTACTTACTATTCCTTGTTGCAAGCTCCAGAAACTGGATGTCAAAAAAAAGAAACAAAAAAGATATTTATTTATTTAGCAAAGCCTTATCTCTCAAAAATTATAGGCCTAATTAAATTATATCAGTATAGTTTGAAGGCAAAGCACAGTGATTTTCAGCTATAATATTTTAATTCAAAATTAATTCAAACTATCTTAACCATTAGACAACAGCCATGTAAAATATATTTGTGTATAGTCTTACTATGATAATACTAAAATTAGCAATAAATGCATGGGGGGAATAGAAATATAAAAATTTTCCATTTGGGTCAGTTTCACCTTTTGCACCTTAGGCTTTTAATGTGATTTGTTTTCGCACCACAAACAGAGAAAATGAACAGTGAAAGCTGTCTGTTGAGAGAAGAGAGCCAGATGGTGCTGTGTAAGGTGGACAGTGTGGTGAGCTCAGGGGAAATGAATGGATTCAGGCAGACATCCCGGCATCTTTCACATTCACATTCACACTCACACTCACGGCAACCCCTGGCCGCTGAACACAGGAGAGCAGGAGCAGTTATAGTGTGTGAAGATGTACATGATATTCCGAGAGGCAACCGCGCTTAGATCTGTCAAAGGAATTTTATAATTTTGCATGGACATTTCTGAAGAACTTCATGTGAATACAACATCGGACACTGCTTGAATTGCTTATGGGCATTACACATGGTTTACTGGAAAACCACAGGCACCTGACAGACTCATTATCATGTCTGATAAAACAGGCTAACTGTAGACTAAAGTATAAATTAAATACATCAACATACATTCTACATTAGAATAAACAATTAAAACAATGCTTTGTAAAACATGCATGAGCAAGAACACACTGCACGCTTATGCCTTCATTTCTGTTGAACAAGTTCTTTACATAATAACACCAGATATTGTAAATACCAAGGTATTTGCAAACATGCCTATTACTCATTTTCCTCTTATACCAGTAATGCAGCATTCCTTCGACTTCCTGAGTTAACACACTTCCCGTCATGCACTTAAGTTAAACAATATTCCCTACTTCCGATCAGAGCTATTGCTCATGTACCATAACAACATATTTCCTCCTCCTAAGGAAGGATGTGTTCATAAACATCACAAAATATTGTGTTATCCGTCATTTACATTCAAAGGTTGCCATACAGTTGTTGTTGTTGTAGCAAATTAGCTCAATGAAATATTAATAATCAATCATAACTTGTTATAATTGATTATGAATATTTGGATCAGTAAATCGGGTTAACTTCATGTAGCATTAACATTACAACCAATTACTCATTGCCAATTACCAATTACCAATTGGTTCATCCCGTGAACACTCAATATTGGTTATTAATTGATTAATATAGAAATGTACATTTCCGGGGTATGGGAAATGTCTTTCTTATTAAGTACTAAGAGCAAGTAGTCAAGATCTATGATTAATGACTCCAGATATGAGCTTGAGACACGGACAACTTTACGTCAAGTCAAGTCAAGTCATCTTCATTTATATAGCGCTTTTAACAATGAATTGTTTCAAAGCAGCTTTACAGAGATAAACATATAATTTAAGGTAACAGATTGTTTTGGCGTTATAGCGGTTCTTGAATAATGTTACTTCCAGCTAAAGTTAACTTTGATTAAGTGTGACATGAAAAAGATTCACGTGTGACATGAAAAAGATTTTATTAACTAGAACTACTCTAACACAAACATACATACAGTTTACCAAGGGAAAGAGGGCTAAGAGCAAGAGGACAAGAGGGCTAATCTTGTGATCAGTGATTTTTAAAGCGGGAAGATGTCACACCCTCTGAAGGTGCGTGAGCCAATACGAAGACGTCCCTTTGGAGGGAGTTTTTTACGACCCTTTGTTTTCTAGCAGGGCATTTGAATGTTAAATTTCATTGGGTGTTTATGAAAAGAATCTTCAAGATTCTTATAATACCAATGCGTCATAAAGTTAGCAAAATGTAATGTAAATTAACAAATGGGGGACGAAGATTGGAGTTTATAGAGACTAAACATGCCACACATATGATTTTGGTGAACCATAATGCAAGTCATGTTTCAGACCAAAATAGTTTAGAAGAGAGAATGAAGACATAGGCCAAACCACATAAAAGGAAAATCATGAGATGGAAAATTAGATACATGTTAATACATTTATCACATGGTTATATATAAAGAATATATATTAAAAGGGTTCATTTCTCCTTCTCAGCAAGAATTAAGAGAGTGTCACAGCCCTCTGCACATTCCTTTTTTGGGGTCGTAAACTCTTATCAGTCTTAAAGACCCACTCCGATGAAAATAATGTTTTTCTAGGTGTTAACATGTTCTTGTGGCATTTTTCTGATGTGAGAGGACATATCTTGAGAAAAATCAGCTCAAAGTTGTATTTCTGAGTATTTCTACATTCAAATGGCTGTGAATCAGTAGCAGACGCTAAAATGCCGGCTAAAATCGACTGGAGTTGTGACGTAGTAACTCCACTGGGCGTCTCCACACGCGACGTCTTGGAGTGAAATAATGATCGGTGATCGGTGATAACTTTGATTAACTTCGGATAATAATAATTAACGTGTATATAATACTGTTGCCCCACCGGTATTGGGGGTGTAAGCTAGCGGGAGAGACAGAGCTCTCAGCAACGGGCAGGGGGAGGGGCGTCTCCGTGCCAACGGCTCCGCCCACAACGCAGAGGCGAATTGCTAATGAGGTACTGCCGCTCTGCTGAAGCGAAGTCCCAGAAAACAGCACAGGTTTTGTGATTTTGGCTAAAAATGGCATAATCATAATTTAAAGACCACTGGGAATGTTTAAAAATAGCTCAAAATATGATCGGAGTGGGACTTTAAGGTGTCCTGTAACACAATGGGTTCTGCCCGTGTTGGCTTCATTTGTGGGGGAAGTTTCATAGAACTTTGTTGGGAGAGTGAGTTTGTTGGATTATTCATTAAATATAATGAATAATTTGTGTGTGTCTGATTGGTCCAGATGCTACATTGTTGATGCTAATGACTATTACTGTTGTATTATTATCAATAAACAACAACAACAACAACAAATAAATAATTTCTTGAGACAAAGGCTTGGGACTAAAAAGGCAATTTCATGATGACACCTCATATTTAGGTTGTTAGCATATATTTATGAAAATATCTTGTGACAAAGTAAAAAAGATGATTTTGTAATAAAAATTGTATAGGGTCACTAATCACCCGAGGTGTGTAACAGTGTAAATAGATGTTTTCTGCACAACAATAATTGAATCTTTGATGACTGAAAAAGAGCAATTCACCTTTATTCCACAAGGTGTGAATGTCTGATAAACAATGATGAAGTTTCACTGATCATTGTTACCACAGGCAGAAAACAAAAGAATAGGAAGTAGCCTATACTAGCCTAAGTACTGAACTCAATTAAATATTAGTGTCACGGTCACTTGATGGTGGATCTGGTGAAGAAGCTGTCAGCGATCAAAATATGTCATGTGGATGAAGGAACGAACCCATGCGCAGACAGCAAATAACTCAAAAGGGGTTTAATGATGACAAAACAGAAAACAAAACCCACGATGGGGCAAAACAGGACTGGAGGTAGACTAAGACACGATGACAAACGAAGACTCTGACTTGACAGGAAACAAACTCACAATTCTCAATAAACAGG